CCCGGCAGGGAGCGACGCCGCGCGCAGGGCCCAGGGATCCTCCACGCCGCTGATTACCGAAATCAGCGCAGGACGCCGGCGGAGAGGCTTTCTGTTCTGCTTTCCACCAAATAATGTTTTACAAGGGGGTCAAGGAGAGGTCAAAACAGAAAGTTATGAAACGTCAGCCTTGTTTTTTGCTAAGCCCCAGTATTAATAGCAGCGCGGAGGCCAGGCTGGCAAAGGAATTCATGCAGCACAAAGTAACTCGCTCCGGAGGTGACAAAGCTCTGAAATGGCTCCAGCCCCGCGTCCGTGCCGTGAAACCGGCCAGGTGCACGAAGCATCGCTGCTGGAAACTCTGCTTTCCTGTAGATCATAAAATAAACCTAGCAGTGACATCACTTCTTCCGTTTCTCCCAGGAAAGCCAGCAGGATTTTCATCAGTAGCCCAAACAGAAACATTAGTGATGGTAAAGTGACGGCTACAATTAATCTAAATCTTATAACTGCAATGTTTTCACTGGGGAATTAAAGCAAATTATTCCTTTGCTATTGCATCTTACTCTCATTTACATTTTAATCCCAGTAGGACCTTGCTCTGTTATATTTGGAAAATGACTGTATAAAAAGGAAAAAAACAGCATGGTTGAAGTGTTCAAAGATGTGTAGAGAATTTAGCTATTAACTTTACTGGCAGATGTGTGGCGGTACCAAGCCCTGAATGATTAGAAATAAGCACAAATGCAGAGTTTTTCCAAACATCGGTGAATGCAGAGTCTGGTGGCGTTTTGAATTAGGCACACAAACACAGGCAAACAAACAGCTGGGGTAAAAGGTTGTGTTGAAGGTGTAATTACACATTACCCAGAGCAGAGCAAGTCACTCCTTCGTTTGTAAGGCAAGTAAAGGGGACTCTTCACTGAAGGACGCTGTGTGCCGAGGGAAGCCTCCTGGTTCCTGCTCTGTGGTCCTCTAATCCCAGACTCAAGCCTTGTTTTCCTTGCCATGAGGTTTTACCCCAGGATAATGAATGCATACTTTTTTGCTTTCGGTAAACATGTAGTGAAGAAAGACTGTTGTCAAAGTAAAATTAGCGCTATATCCCGTCTTACTGCGGTTTAGCTTGCCTACCTGCTCTTATTCTGAAGTTAAAATGCACAAATAAATGAGGCATCGACTTTTCTTTCCCGTTAAAGACAGAAAGTCCACAAACTGCGGACTGTTTGCACAGATACTCCGTCACACCATTGCCACACTGGGGATCCCCGACACCCCTCACAACCTCGCTGATCTTAACAGGAATAC